CCCGAGAGCCGGAGACTCGCCCTGGCTCCTGGCCGCGGCCAGTGGTGGCAGAGCCCTCGCCCCCCACACCCAACACCCGCACGAGTCTGGCCCGTGGCTGGCCTGTGTCTTCCACGTGGACGTGGTTCCCCAGCCACCACGTGCCGGTGACTGAGTCCCAGAGCCCCAAATAGTTACAGTTTCTTACAAACACAGGCAAGTCCATTTCTCTTTCTTTTTCCCTTTGAAGGCTTTTCGCTCCCCTTTCCCGTGGTGTGACTTTTTTGACAATGAGGAAGGGTTCTCCTTCCTTACTGCCTTTTCTAAAAGGCTGCCTCCTGCGGCCCCTGCAGGGGTGGAGCCGCAGCCTAGGCGTATGCCCGGCCGGCCGGGGAATTGAACCTTCCCCGTGCACGGCGCGATGCCCCGCCGGCTCAGCTACACCGGCCGGGGCTCCATTGTGTGATTTTTAAAACAGCGTTTCTCCACTGACCGCCTTTCCTCGTTCTTTATTTCCAGCGTCTTCACTATTTTGTATCTAATTTTTTTTGAAGGGGTCTTGGAGCCAGAGCTGGCCTGCCGCATTTTTATTTTTATTGTCCGCATAAAATACTGGGCATGTGAACTGCGCCTCGGGGAGCCTGCTGGCATCTGCTGTAGGGCCCACCGAGCTGCATTTCTGCGTTCTCATTTCACTCTTGTTCTCTAGAGTCTAGTCGAGAGACCCCACCAGGATGGTTGGGGAGCTCACCATCCTAGCAAGGCTGAGCTGCCTTCTGGCTGTTTTGGTCCCTGGAACCCAGCGGGGGCTCTGGGCCTGGGCCTTTGAGCAGCTCCCTGATGGCAGCGTTTCTCGGTTTCCCTCAGAGGAGCTGGTCTGGAGGAATGGAAGGCCTCCTCCAGGCGAATGGCCTCTGGTCCTCTCTGGGGTTTTGGTCAGTAGGCTGTCTCCAGGACCCTGCCCTGCCTGGGCCAGGTGACAGACCAGCCTGGAGGAGGGACCCTCGAGGTTCTTCGCTGTTCCCATAATGGAGTCCAGACCCCCAGCCTGGCAGTACTGGTCCCAGGAGCACGCACACCACCAGGAGTCTTAGCAGTCTACTAGACTTCTGTGGCTCACCACTGGTCGGCCTGCGCTCTGGTTCCTAGCATGGCCCCTTTTGTCCCACTGTCCCCACTCTGGCTAGAATGACCTAAATGCCACAAGTCTGATCCAGTCACTCCCGGTTAAAATCCTTTAGTGATTCCTGTTTCCTTCCAGGCCCTGCCCCATCCTTCCACCACTCCCTGGTCCAGTCAGCTTGGAGGTATGACATTCCCTGTACTTTTCTTTCATGCCTTTCTGGACCTCTACAGGCTGTGCCTTCTCCACTTCCTCCCCTCCATCCTGCGAACTCCTACTCATCCTTCAAAACCCACTCATCAGGAGCAGATGCTTCTCAACCTGTTACGGTATTGTAATCATGTCTGTCCTGGCGCCTGGTCTGCAAGCTTGAGAAGCAGTATCACTCTGGAGCCCTGACACCTGGTTCCAATCCCAGTTCTGCTACGTCTCAGCTGTATGAGAGCAGCATGCTACCTGACCTCCATGCTTCAGTGTCTTCATCTGTAAAACGAAGGTAAGACTATATACCTTCCAGGGTTGTGAGAATTAAATTAGTTACTACAGCTTACATGTAAAGTGCTTAGTGGCTGGCACATAGTAGTTGCTGTATCTTTTATCTTTGTGTCCTCAGCACCTGGCCCATTATTACAATAGTAGATTCTCATGAAATGTTAAATAAATAAATGGAATGCAATCTAATCTGACTTTCACAATAGTCCAAGAGGTTAGCAGGGACCATAATATCTCTCTTATAGGTCAGAATGCAGATTCCAGAGGGGTTGAATGACTCCCCACCCCCAAACCCCAACCCTACAACCACTTCATCTCAGGTCTGTGCATGGCAGGGCCCCTTCTGTAGAGGCTCCAGGGCACCTCCCCTCACCTGCCACGTCTCCCTGCAGCCGCCGGGCCTGGGCTCGGTTGTTGTAGGCTGACGCCCTCTCGGGCAGCAGGTTGATGGCTTGGCCAAACCTCTCCAGCGCTGTGCTGAGGTCGCCAGCCTCTGCTGCGGTCACCCCCTGCAGCTCCAGGGCCTTGGACTGCTCCAGCTGTGCTTGCGGGAAAACTCCACCTGTGCCAGGGAGGGAGCCAGGAGGGGGCAGGTGTGCAGTTGGGAGCAAGAAGCAAAAGCCACCTCAGGCTCTGGACACGTGAGCCAGAACTGCCTGGGCTGAGGGGCGGTCACAGCTGGAGTGAGATGCGGTATTTGGGACGGGGGAGCCGAGGTCACCCAAGGCTAAGCCCCAAAGGAACCTGGGAATGAAGGGAATGAAGCTCAAGCTCCTTAGCCTGCAGCTAAAAGGACTTGCTCCAGGCCACACAGCCTGTGAGTTGCACAGCTTGGAGTTGAGCCCAGGTCCTTTCCTGAGTGTGCCCCCGTTTTGCTCGACTGCACTGCCTCCAACACTAAGGCCTCCGTGACACCCCCAGGTCACGAAAATCCCTCCCCACATATCCCCAGCTTTTCAGCCTGAAGTCTCAGTAAGGCTTAGGCGTCACCCCTTTAGAAACAAGGACATAAAAACCTCGATGGGGACCCCAGTCCTCACTGGGGACCGATGGAAAGCCAGAGTGCACTGTGGGAGGATTGGCTCAGAGCTGCTTGTGATGGCACGCGGCACTGAATGCTCGCTTAGCTTGGAACCATGCAACAGAGCCCTGCCCTGCCCTCTTCCGGTCTTTGTGGTGATATATTCTGTTACGACAGTGGTATGAGTTTAGTAGCACCCTCCTACACCCCAACACAGTGAAGCTTGGATCATGGGGAGAATTGAGTGGTGAGGTACATTCAGAGGTGTAAGGGCTGAAGGACTGAGACAGGCCCTGGCCCTTTCCTCTTGGCAGTGACTCTTGTCAACCCCCCATCAGTGTTATAGGGATTCTCTGATCTTTTTTTTTTTTTTTTTTTTAAATATATTTCTTTATTGATTTCAGAGAGGAAGGAAGAAGGAGAGAGAGATAGAAACATCAATGATGAGAGAGAATCATTGATCGAGCCCGCAACCCAGGCATGTGCCCTTGGCCGGAATCGAACCCGGGACCCTTCAGTCCACAGGCTGACGCTCTATCCACTGAGCCAAGCCGGCTAGGGCGGATTCTCTGATCTTTAAGGCCAATTTCAATCATTGCCCAAGGGTCTGGAGCAAACATGGGGTTTTGTAAGATCACCTACCTTGGCCTCCCCAGGAAGGCCTGCAGACCAGCCAATGTAGAGAGCTATCCTCCAAGGTCAAATACTCACCTTCATCTTCTTCCTCAGCTTCCTCTCCCAGGTCCAACCCAACAACGTCTCCAAATGGGGTGTCGGGGTTGAAGATGGCCTGCAAAACTGCCTGATCGTTTAGCGTCCCCATGGTGCTCAACTCCAAAACTCCAAAAAGGTGACTCAGGATGAGAGGACGGAGGGAGAAGCGGTGGGTGGGGCTGAGCTTTGCAGCCAGTGGATTTGAGGGAGGTTGTTTGAGGACCATCCCCATGAGGAGTGTCCTGTTCTTTTGGTTACAGGGTAAACTGGACGTCCTTTGGCCCTGGGCTCCTTTGGCCCTGGGCTCGTGACCCTGGCTTGGCGGAACATTTACAGCTATTTCTCAACCACCTCCCCACCAGCATTCCCGTCCCAGGAGAAACAGTAAATACATTTTCAGGCTTAAGGTGGAGGGGAGAGAGCCGTGCAGTCCAGGTTCTCTTTTGCGTGCTTTTATTCTATTCAGATCAGGAGGAAACCAACAGAAGCCAGGGCTTGACTACCCATGGGTCAGGGAGGGGTATGCAGGCAGTAAAGGAACTATTTCTTTGTCCTCTTGAGCCTTTCTTCAAGTCCAGAATTAGGTGCTGAGTAGACATCAGTGATAAGGAAAGGAAATGCTGTGAAGAGAGCCGGTGTGGAAGGCAGAGGACTGTGGCAGGCATCCTGTTCCCCTCCCCCAACCCTCCGCCCAACGAAGCCAAAAGAAAGGTCCACCACGTGCAGCAATAAACTTGACATGTTTATTAATTAAACTATCACTTAAATAAAAAAAAGTGCATAGAAAATAAACATGTTTAAAAACTCCTTTTTTTTTACAACTATGTACACTTTTTACTTTTACATTCAGTCTTTCGTAGAGAGCTTTCAGCATTATTATTTTTTGAACTATTAAAGTTATTTTCCTTCATCCCTGTCACAGGGAGTTAACACTGATGGACTTTAGACACTTTTTTTTCCCTTTTTTTTTTCCTTTTTTCTCTAACCAGAAGCTTGGAAGAACACAAGGAAAGAAAAAAAACAACAACCGAAAGATCTGTTATACATGATAAAGGTATCAAGAAATGTCATTTTTAGAAAAGAAGCTTGTCATCTGTTGAGCTTTTGAAACAATTATTCAACTACCTGTATTTACTAAAGAGACTGTTAAAAGTTCAATGAAAGAAACACCACGAGTCTATTTGCTTGGTTGAAAGACAGAACTAGAGTACCTGGGAGCAAGATACCAGGAAAGCACAGAACACAATTTTCCCCTAAATGCAGGTGGTAACCCCAACATTCATAACCAAAAATAGAAAAACAAGGAGTACAGATACTGCCTGGCAACATCCACTGGCAGAAAAGCATCCAGGTGGCACCTCCTGCGTCGCTGACCGCTGGGACCGCTGTCTGCCTCCCCCGTGTCCGGGCCTCCCCGTTCCCGAGCATCAGAAGGGCCAGCGGCTTTTCCCGCCGCCACTAGCAACTGGAACACACCCCTACCTATAGTGTTAAGAGAATGAAAGCCATGGACTGCACGAGGCTTTGTTACACGGTGCATTACTATATTAGTTCCTATATATATCATATTTATACTTATTTGAAAACCAAAACACAAAAGTTGCAAGTTTAGAGAGTGAGTCTTGACTGGTGTTCGTGATTCGGCATAAAACCATCTGCTCAATCACCTTGTATTGCTTTAAAATGGAGACGAAACAAAATCACACCCAGCCCTTTGCAATGACCCGCTTTTCCTTAAAAAAAAAAAAAAAAGGAAAAAAAATTTTTTAACCTAAAATACCCCAAATCAAACTTAAAAGTTATCATCTGACAAGGTTTGGACCTTTAGTAGTTTCGGATATTTGATTGAACGTCAGTCCTTTAGAAAGATACATTCATTAAAAGATTTTTTTGTGTTGTGTTGTTGTGTTTTGTGAAATCCAGGTACCGCATGGCCGGGAATCTGCAGGCAAGCAGGGTGGGGCCCGGATCGCGGCAAAGGAGCCTGGGCAGAGCATACAGCTGCCAGGGCTGCCCCTAACTCGTTACTGGTCTAAAACCAGGAGGGGTTGTGCTGAAGGTGGTGGGACCGAGTTCTGGTCAAGGGTCAGCGCCGGCAGCTTCTCTGGTTACACAGCCATCTCTGCCACCAGGAGAGGCGGCCACAGCAGCAAAACCGGCGGGTGCCAGTGTTCACAGAACCACCCAGGTCGCAGCCTGTCACTCCTCAGGGACGTGGGGTGCCCCTTGGAGACTTAGGAGTGACCCACCGCAGTACCTGTCTGCACTTCTGTGAGGAGACTCCTTAGCTCACTTTCAAAACAAATTTGGGTGTTTTGGAGGCAGCTATCCCATCTTCTGCCTGCTTAGCTCACTCCCCAAGTCCCTGGCAGGTTGGCTGAAGTTTGGCAATGAACTCAAGGCTGAGCTGTGGGAGGGACTTCTCGTTTCCGTGGTTATAACCAGGGAGGGAAAGGCCAGGCAGACCACCTGCAGCCACAGGAGGAGACGCAGGTTTGGGAGAGAGGAGGGGCTCACAGTACTCGGCCTAGCAGAGCAGTAACTGGGTCTGCTCAGCTGAGTCTCCCCCACCCCAGACTGGCCTTTGGTGAAGTCGTGACCCATCAGTGCATTAATCATTCCAGTAACAAATGCAGCTTAAGGATTTTTTCTAAAAAAAAAAATTAAAAAAGTAATAAAGGATTTACAAAAACCTCACACAGTGCAATAATAAAGGAAACCAGACAGTAGTGAACCCTCGGGCCACCACGTCTTGTTCACGGGCAAGAGGAAGGGAGGGAGGTCTGGGTGGAGTGCCTTCTCCACGTCCCAGGGCGGTCTCTGCACCCTGGCCACAGTGCTGGGCCCCGCAGGCAGGGGAACGGCATCTTTCAGCAGAGCCACCACATGAAGTTCTTAAGGGCACAGGAGCCCAGGGCGAAGGCACAGCAGAGCCGTGAGCCGGCGCAGAGCTGGCGGAGTATTGCTTGGCTGGACTTCCCAGGGAGGGGCTCCGGGGGAAGGGACTACACGCTCTGAACCCTCGTGCGGACGAGGCGGAGAAACAGATCTGCTCCCTGGGGAGCGGTCAGACTGCTTCAGCTTCAGTGGGGTCTCTGCAGGAATGAGGGCTCAGCGGGCAAGGGGGGAACGAGGTGATCTGAGGCCGAGGGTGATGGGGATGTCAGGTGCCATCCGCTTGGTCGCTGTGAAGCGGGAAAGGAGATGAGCACGGGTCACCGCTCGGGGCCAGGGAGGGGACAGTGCGGGAAAGAAGAGGAGCGGCCCCAAGGGGCTGGGTGACCTTCCTTTTATTGTCGAAGAGCAAACCCAGGAAACGTTTATGTCAACAGGGCACAAACAAACTACACATGAAACAACAGAAACTTCCAGGGGGAGCTGGGCAGGAAAAACCAGACTTCGCATGTACAGCTGAATAGTTTCTTTAACTTCATCCTATGAAAATAAAAACTTATTTAAAACCGATCTTTTAAATTAGGATAATACCGCGGTTTAAAAAATATCCTTGTCATAAGTGCTTCTCCCTGTGAAGTGCTTCTCATAGAAAAATATACAAAATACATTTACATTTATAAAACCTTAAATAGCAAACTGTAAACAGAACAGAGTAAAATCTGATGACTTAATTTAATAGGTCGGGACACTGTCTCGGGGAGGGAGGAAGCAGAGGGTCCGGGTGGCCACATCGGAGGGCGCAGGGCAGTAGTGTCATGAACTCACTTAGCCGTGGAGTTTGCATAGGTGGCAGTCCCCTCAATGCAAGGTGCTCAGTCCCCAAGGTTTGGGCCTTGAAATCTGATTAGTGTTGTGCCTTCAACTGGACATGGACCCTTTAAAGATCAAGTCTTCCTATGTCGTCACGAAGGGAAAATGGTCACCGTGGCCTAGGGATGGGGCCCAGAGGCACCCTGGCCCGATGCTCTGGTTGCTGCATGACTCAACTATTGAAACAACCTTTCCCTCGTCTCAAATATCAGGCTCCGGACGTTTCTCTAAAACTCTCAGCGGAGTTTTGAGAAAACGCCTCATTCTGTCTGGTTCTGGCCAAGGCTCCTGTCCACCTCCCACTGGGAGTGCCTCCAGGCTCAGGGGACGTTCGGAGGCGCACAGTATGCCCACAGGGAGTGTCCTTGAGCAGGAGTCTCGGTCTCCTCCACCCAGAGAGAATGGGAAAGCAGTGGAGGCCGAGCAGGGAAACGAGGGAAGTGGAGTGAAGAGGAGTGAGGAGGAAGCCGCTCCTGCGGTCAAGGAAGGAAACTGGCTGAGATAAGGCTCATGGGGCCGGACTCCCGCTTACAGCCACAGGCTCGGTGTTTGGTAATTAATTGGCACAACCCCAACACAGAATCCCCTTTCCCAACCAGAAGCGAGTGCTCCCTGGGAAGGCAGGGAAACCACCCGCCTCCTGTTTGTTCCCCGACGGCTCCAGCTAGGCCCGCCGGCAAGCGGTCAGGGACCAAACCACCCCCACCCAGGGCTCTGCCTGGCCCCTGGCTGCAGGGTGTGGGAAAGGGCCACAGAGAGGACGGCCTCTTCTCTCTGAGGAGAGGCTCAGGCCCAACCTCCCAACGCAACGAACCCAGAGCTCCTTCCAGGCAAGTGTACTAGGGACCCCTCTCCCCATTTCTGAACAGCACACAACAGGGGGCCCCGGCAGAAGGCAGGTCCCGGATCTTCTTTGAGACCTCTCTCCCCAGGACTCTGATCACATGTCTAATGTGAATACAGGACACAGGGCTCAGCCACCTGGGAGGCCCCTCAGGCCCCAACTCCCGGCTCTGGCGAAGGTGGCCCCGGTCCCGGCGCTGGGGAGAGGAGCAGCTTCAGTTGAGGAACTTCCGGCATTTCTTGGCGCCACAGTTGCAGGGCAGCTTGTTGCTGGCATCCTCGATGGGAAACTTGTAGTCGTACGTGAGCTCCTCCCCGCGGTAGATCTTGCGCATCGCAAAGATGACGATGTGCTTCTGTCCATCGATGTTGATGACCCGGGAGTAGCAGTTGGGCTCGCATGAGTGGTTGATGAAGCGGGCAGCGTTGCCATGCATGGTGGCGTCCACCACCTCGGAGTCATCGATGCGGAACATGTAGCAGCCGATGCCCTGCATGCGAAGGCGAGCATCGGTTTAGTACAGCTCAGATTTGAGAGCATCTCCCAACCTTTTTCTTTCTTTCTTTTAACTGAGAAATATGTGTTTTAAAAAAAATTTTTGTTAACCCTCACCGAGGATATTCTTCCATTGCTTTTTAGGGAGAATGGAAGGGAAGGGGAGAAACAGAGAAACACTGACTAAGAGAAATACATCAACTGGTTGCCTTCCACACTTGCCCCGCCCAGGGCCGGGGATCGAGCCTGCAACCAAGGTGTGTGCCCTTGACTGGGATCTAACCGGAGACCTTCCACCTGGGGGCCGATGCTCTATCCACGGAGCCAAACTGGCCAGGGCCCAACCTTTTCCTGATGTGACTTATAGTTGCTGCTGCTGAACATTTCTTCTGGTATAATTTCCAGATTCCTCCCATCTCTCAAGATACTTCCATGAAGAATTCCTAGGTTATAGACACTAGATTACTGGTTTCTTTTTTTCTTTTCTTTTTGATGTTCCAGCCAACAGGAAAGAGAAACC